TAAACTACAATGAGTTGACTGATAAAAAAAAAGAAGATCGGAACATGATTTATTATGATAAAAGAACTAAAAATGGTTGTGAAAGAAAACAAAGGAGAATTATTGTAAAATAAAAAAGGTATTTCAAGAAATAGACATATGACAAAAAATGGAAAAAATAAAAATGGCAATAACAAATGATAATGTAAAAATAACCCTAAAAAATGAATCTCTATATTTAAAGGTGTCACAATTAATATTAATAAAAAATAGTCTAATAAAGGATTGAATTCCTGATTATTATTATTTTTTCAATCCGGTTTTAATAACTATGATTTAAAGCATGTTCAAAACTCAATACTCTTCACCTACTTAAGCCATAATTGAAACATACGAAAATATCAGATAGAAAAAATGCGTGCTGTATTTCTCCAAAACTAAAAATTTCATGATCTCCTAAGTGATGTTTACAAGGAAACAACACTAGAATAGGGCAATCAACGCAAAGAGAAAATTGAAACATATGAAAAATAACAGATAGAAAAAAATGTCTGCTGTATTTCTCCAAAACTAAAAAATTTCATGACCTAGCTAGATCTAACCACTCCTCTCATTATTGGGATGAAAATTCTATTTTAATGATTGCATTAAATCATAAATCAATGATACAATTTAAAAACACACACACACACACAAGCACGTGAGGAGATCCATCCAGAGTCAAACGTGAAAGCAAACTGTCAGTAATATTTCAAGTTCAACTTACCAATAACTTAGATGGAGATTCCTTCTTGGGTTTTACCAAAGACATGACGTAGGAAAACGTAGCACATTAAGTGATGGTCAAATGTTGCCTTCCTTCTTAAACCTCTAAAACATCTATTAACTTAATCATTATCCTCGGAGACCCCATGAAGATTAGTTGACATTGATTGCTCACTTTGTGACGATCTCTTATCCATGGCGTGAATGTAGAGCCATTGTCTTTAAGTACTCGATGACAAGATCTCGTTTCTCGATCTTTTGTTTGTGGCCTTCGGGCCTCAATTAATTCCAAGCAATTCGAGTAGTCCCATCACAGAGAAATAAGCTTCCAATGTCGTGCCATTGATTCTATGGAAGCCTATATGGATGCATTTTCTAAGGCTGTGGTTGTGGTGTCTTTGTACCATTGGGATTCTATATTTACATGGATAGTTGTTGGGATCTAGGAAAGGGAGAATTTCATTGATATAAAAGGAGACATATGTTACCACAGTGTTCTCTATTAAAATGTCAAGTGAAGGAAAACTTTGTTGTCAAGTAAGAAGACTCTAGAAGAGAGAGAGAGAGAGAGAGAGAGAGAGAGGAGTTTTGTATAGTTTTAGTGCAGATACTGTAGGAATTGAGAATGAAGGTTGGGGTTACTTTTTGGCCTTCCTAGCTTAGGCTATTGAAGAAATAGACCCACATGATTCCATGGCGCAAAGCTCGTGAAGACCAAATAGGCACTGAAGCCAGGGAGCAAAGTGAGGCTACTTCGAGTATTCAAAAGCTTTAGGTCCTTCTTCTGGAAGCGACACTCTCTTACTATTTTTTTAATATTAGTCAACATTACAACATCCTTCTTTAGTATATGTCTTTTGAGTTTAATTCACTTATTCTTTATCAGAAAAGATACACAGTCCATGTGTGACATTAGAATGAGCTTACTTACATACACAAGTCTTCTCCTTGCATCTTTTGTCTTGCGTCACACACATCGAGAAGAAGGTATGTATGTAATGGGAGCTAATGTGGGGGGGGGGGGGAAGGAACCAAAGAGAGGCTTCAACATTTCGTCAGGTATTTCAATGAATTTATATCTTAAGCAGTACATTATTGTACTCCATATGAAAAGATTCTAATAGGCAAACTCCAGCCATAAAAGCTACGACAAGTTGTCTGAATTTACAAGACAAGTTGTCTGAACTATGAATGCCACCAACAGATATCAGTGAATTTTTTTTCTACTATCATATTCAAAATCTCTTCTTTTCTTTTCTTCGCCTTCGCAATCTTTTTACTGCATTATTCAATGAAAGTTACGGAGGATTTTAATCTATGGCACTTTTGATAACAAATCTAAGAAGCCAATGGTTGTTTTTCCCGATATGACCAAAATCTTAACTTTCGGATCTGATGTTGGACGTGTGCCAATGGGTGTCTCGAATTCCAATTTCCTAACCAACGTATACATACGTACATGGTTGTGAAAAATAAATTTGAGAATCTGCAAACCGCTGCAATCGGTGCTGCAGTTTGGGAGGTCAAACAGCAAAAGTTCAATGGAGAAGATAACCCAATAAGGAGCAGTGTCAACAACATAACATGTCTTCACTTGTGTTGTTCGCCACTGGTGTGCTGTGCTTGGTTGAAACATGCCAACAAGTAAAATCCTTGTGTACGAAAAAGTTTCACTTTACTGATAGAGAATTCAACAAAAAGAAAAAGGTGGAAGTCAACCAAATCCCAATATCCATATCACTCACCCACTGAAGTGTCATTTTCTTGGACATAGTAACCTGAACAAACCAAGAGCCAACCAACCTTTCTAGCTCCATATCAACTACTCTTTTTTATTACCTCCGTCTCTTTTACCTACTATGATATCACTGCACACAAGTGTTCACTATAACACCATCGTTCCAGACAAATTCCTCTACATCATACCCAAATGAACAGACCTCTTATTCCAGAGAAACTCCCACAGGTACATCTGTCTCTCCCACAACAATCTCCACAGCAGTAAGAGAGGAGCTCCAGCTGAAGGAGGGAGGAGAAGGAGCAGGAATGGAACTTTTTCCAGCGCAGCCAGATTTTTCTCTTCAGATCAGCCCATCAAACACCACACCAGCATCAGGTTGGAGAAGTCATGATGAGAATATGGAATTAGGGTTTTGGAGGAGGTCACTGGACTCCACCAACAACAGCAACAACAAGAGCAGCACCATCCCTTGCACAGCGAAGGCCGACGATATCACTTTCGAGCTCTCCTTGGGAAGCCCGAGTGCTACAGTCTCCAGCAACACAAGGGATAGCCTGCTCCTCCGTTCCTTATACCCTCACCACCATCACCACCACTTCCACTTCCACCACCACCACCCACTGCCACAGGAAGGGTACCACTCAGAACTTAGCTTGTTGAAGCCCATAAGGGGGATCCCAATCTACCAAAACCCACCTTCTTCCTTTCCTTTAGTCCCCCCACATCAACCGCAGCACATGTATGACTCCTCTTCCTCCTCTAGTTTCACTCCCTTTGCCACAACACCAGGCATGTCGAGATCGAGATTTTCGCCCTCGAGATTCCCAGCCAAAAGGGTCATGAGATCACCGAGAATGCGCTGGACTACAACGCTTCATGCTCGCTTTGTCCATGCTGTGGAGTTGTTGGGAGGTCATGAGAGTATGTTTTGCTTCTCATTTTGTTGTGGAAATTATTTGTTGTTTTGGGATATGGAAACAATTCAGAGGGACGAACAGATCTTTACCTTTCTGCTATGTCTGTGTTCTATTCTTGGAGTTTAGGAGCCACACCCAAGTCTGTTCTGGAGCTCATGGATGTAAAAGATCTCACCTTAGCTCATGTGAAATCTCACTTGCAGGTGAGTAAAAATTCTGACTTGGTAGCATATGTCGGCTAAAGTAGGCTTCTGAATCTGCTCTTCCCAGAAATTTTTATTCATCTCGTACTTTTCCTGAGATTTCAGGATGTCTCAGCATTTTTTTTTCTTTAATAATTTTCATTGTTTTGGCTAATCTTTTTGGTTCTTATCTGAGTGTTATTTTTTGGTTTCATTTCTAGCTTTAGTAATGTGGAATCTCATCCTGCCGTCTCTCTCTCTCTCTCTCTCTCTCTCTCTCTGTGGCGGGATAGCACTGTGGCAACTTTTGCATATGAAGCAGAAAACATGCTACTACAGAGAAAGAAAGGATGATATCAACACATGACAAAATAAAAAGTACTCGAGCTTTAGCAGTGACAAAGATGGAGTATAATGAACATTAGCTCCGAGATGTTTGTTCTCAAAAATCCAACATACCTAACCGCTTCATTATATTGCATCTGTCTTTAAATGCATAATTATTTAGATCAATGGCTCGAGGACTCGAGGGACAGGAAGCTTAAGTTGGCTTTTTCTTTCTCAACTTAGTAATGATTTAAATGTTAGCTAATGATCATACGATGACTGCAGATGTTTCGGACTGTGAAGAACACAGACAGACCAACAATTTCTTCAGGTGACAGATATCTTGTCTCTCTCACTGCATCATACAACGCCACTATATTTTGAAGTGTAGAACACAGTACTGTTCTTAGGCTTATTATTACATTTTGTTATAGGCCAATCTGAAGGATGTGAGAACGGGTCGAACGGAGAGATGTATGATGATAATTTGTTAGATAATACAAACATTCCACATAGATTGGGATCATCCATGCAACATCAGTGGCCAGCCACACATCCTGACGCAGATCATATCCGTCCATGGAGCAATTCTTTGAGGTTCTGATAAGTTAATCTGATCAATGTCTTGCATACTTATATTTGTTAAACAGTATTTCTTTTCACATAGATAAGTTATACTAATTCATTTCGCTCTCAGTGTTTTGTGCTTGAAGGACAGTTTATGCATTGGTAATAATGACACATGAACCAAAGAGGAGACTTTTGAGTGTATTAATTTCGGTACATGATATGATTTATAGCCATTTGTTTCACCATTGATCTTCACCAGATTTAAGTACAAAATACTGACTTTTAATTAGTCATTATCATATAATGGGTGACATATAACTTCAGGTTTCAAGTTATCTAATTTTTTTTTTCCTTTGCTGCATAATATATTGTAGCCTGAAATAAATATTCACTGAACAATAATAGGATGAAATGACAACTCGCAGTATTTTTGAAGTAGGATAACATTTTATCCAGTGTTTGGCACGTGTAATAGACTTGCATGCATCTGACATTTTCAAACTAATTGCACTTGATCCAATTTCCTTACGTTCCTCTACTTGAAATAATAGCATGTCATGATAATTGTGGAAGCTGATTAGATAAAAGTTTGAAATCTGAAAGGTCTTTATAAATGAAGTGCTGCTTAAAGCTGACAAGCCATACAAAAGTTTGTGCGACTCATAAGGGGGGTAATAGCTTTCCACGGTTTAACTTGGCATCAACCAAGAATAAGATGTGATAAGGATATAAGAGGTTCGAATGTCTCCTATTAGCTATAACCTGTTGTTATTTGTGTTTTATTAGCTAACGAGAGATATTATTAACCAGATCAAAGCTGAGAATGTAAACAAAAAAGTTCATTAGGTAATTGGTTCTTGGTGAAGTCAGGTAAACAATGATATGGCTAACAGAGTATGTGTCATTTTCCTCCTTCCACCATCAAGTCTTGTGGACTCTTTAGCCTTATGAAAGCATCCCTTTCACTCCTTTAAATTTCCACTATTCTTCTTTTACACAAATTGCTGGGAGAAAAGGCAGCATATGGCTTTGTTCCATTCGTCCAGGATCATGGTGAACACTTGAACTTTCATGATGATGTTATGATCCCTTTTTTATTATTGTTGAGGACCCTAAAGTGACCAACCCCATTATATTCCAAGATACAGGTTCATCTGAAATAACTGTTCCGAAAGTACAAATCATACTGTAGGGTTTTTCTTCTTTGCTTTCAAAGTCCTGCAAATGATCCTCCTTTTCATGCAAATATTTTGATGAAAAAGTCATGCATTTGAAGCTTCCTAGCAGCCTCTTTCTGTATCTAATTGAAGTCATACTCTTAATGCCTACATTTTTGTTTTGTTTTTTTTACTGATTTCTTCTTTATAATGGTGGCTTTTTGCAGCAAGGAAGGCTGTTCCAGTGAATCTCCCACAGAAAGTATGCAATCGCTTAAGGTATCAACTTAGCATTTCACTCGAAGTTACTACTCGAACTATTTGGAGTGAATGAGTATTTAAGAACATTCAAGCTTCTTATGGTGCTAAAAAAGATGCTGATGGATACAACGAAAAGATGATGTCATGGAGTGAACTGATGCCAAGCTCTTTTGATTTCTTTCTTCAGAAGGACCTGCAAACGAAAAGTTTCGAAATGTATTTAGATTTGAACTCATCATGCCTGTCGGAGACACTGAACTCAAGCAAACCCAATCTTGAGTTCACGTTGGGTAGGCCATACTGACTTTGAGGACATCAAGAATCCATTGCCAAATAAAGAGTTCAAAAGAAAGGAGAAAAGAAAAAAAAAAGGTGGAAGAGACAAGGAGACAATTGAGGCAAGTGACAAGCAAAAGGGAAGAGGGAGTGTATGCCTATGTCTATCTATGTGAGATCAGATTAGATATGGAGTTTTATGGCTCAAGGATGCATGATGGAGTGGCTGAGGACATCTTTTGCTTTCATAAAGGGAGAAAGACCACAGTTGCTTCATTCCTGTGCATGTGCACGTGCTTCTCTTTGTATTCTCCCAAGAAAAGTAAAAAAGGGCATGCATGCAGCCATGTAACCGAGCATCTAACATATGATTGACAGAGTGCTTCATTGCTTTATTGTCCCTCACTAAATTCTTAGGATGAGAATGTGTTCTGTTGATGATTGCACATTGCAGATTTCTTCAATATGAAGTTAATAATATGATGCTTTACTTTCAATTACGAAAGACACCAGTGTGGTTATCATATTTATCCTTGTCAAAAGTCCCACGTTTTATAGTTGAAATCATATATAGTTTCACATTCCTCCATGATGACTATGGCTTTTTTTCTTCTTTTTTTGTAATAAAATACTTGCAGCTACTCTTCTAATCAGCATACTCGATTTGTTTTTGGAATTTTTAAGACCACCTAAAATTATTTTTTTTCTAAATAGAAATTGATATTATACATCATCCCAGATTCAGTATATATATATATGTATAAAACGACCAGCATTGAACTGATCATTTTAAAGTTGTCTGTCACCTTCCAAGAAATAGATCATAAACATAGATCTGCGTTTGCAACATTGGTTCCAGGTCAAAATTAATTAATCATAGTACAATCAAATATATATATACACATAAATGAACTTGATTGTTTTATGCATGTCGAAGAGACTTTTTTGACCACATTGCACATATTATTTATACGCCCTCTGGCTCTGCCCAGGAAAGACATGAAATCTTAAACCCTATGGATGGTCTCAGTCCATAAGACTTTGGATTACATGTATAGAGAGAGAGAGAGGCAGCAAAGTTAGATTTGGCTTTTGTTCATGTGGTTCTGCTCTCCCATGCAGCCTTGTCTTTCATATCATAGGCTTCCAGCAATTATTTCGGCTTTTTTTTTAATCACTTTACCTTGCCCTTTGCTTGTATATTTCTCCACTTTCACTACGTTGACATGGATTGCTAAGTCAACAATCTTATTCACGTAACAATTATCCTTACTATTCCAATGTATACTACTTTATACTGACTTGTAGATTTTGGCGGTGAAATATTTAACAAAGTCAACACAGGTACATGCAGACAACTCTTCCTTTCTTTAACACTTGTTCAACACCTTGACCTATCTGGAACTATAACTGCTACTGTAGGCTACATGGTCTAATAAGTACCTCACTGTCATCAGGTTAGCATCAAAGAGAGTGGGTTAGAGCCAAGAGAGCTTAGTCTTCTTCGTTCTCTGAGTTTCAAAGTCCTTAGAAAATTCTCAAACAAATGGCAAAACCTAAAGCATTCACATATGCCTGTCGATGACGGACAAACTGCATGCACACAACTGGTTGCATCACTACATATCTCGGTGCAAGTCCATTGTGTGCTTAGCAACTCACAGTGATATGGGCAGGAAGCGCAACCAACAGCATCGAAGCAGAAAAATTACTTGGATAACAAGTAAACAAAGCTGCCTCTTCTCATCTTTTAGGCCAGCTTGATGATAAAAGACTTGGTTTCAGAGGTTTATGGTACATCAACATTTGTAGCTTTAAAGACTCTCTACTGCCTTTATTATTATTATTATTATTTTTTTCTTTTGGCCCTTTTCCTGACAGTGACACTGACCTAAAAGCAAAGTGAAACCTTTTTCTTTTTCTCTCAGACCTGTAACCTGCAGAGGTCAAATTATAATAGAATGATTACCACATGATGATATCTGCAGTTTTTTTCATGGAATTCCAAAGTTCTTTTTCTTCTCTTCAATTCCTTCTTCCACCCCCTCTTTCTTCGCTGGCAACAGAGACACAGAGGTGAGGGCAGCGTATGGTCCTCTCTTGGTCAGAGCCTGTCTGCTGCCAAATGACACCAGTGAGGTGACGCCTCCTCGATGCCTTGTCGCTGCCACCTTCCTACGACTCTCATTCACCACTGTGCTCATTTACTGTGTTACCTTTTTACTCATCTCTCTCTCTCTCTTTCCTCTTATATCTCTCTCTGTCTCTGCTGTGGTGGTGGGCCCAAATCAACCTAGAGAGTCTCTATGGTCAACACTGGAGATGGTAGCCTGTTCATGTTGCAGGTTATCTCCTTGTCCCCGAGTGGTGTTCCTTTTGTGGTCAGAGGTCAAAGGCTCGTTGCTCAAGTATCTTCATGCATGGTTTTGGGAACGCAGATCGTGGCTCCGGTTGCTGACATTGAGAGATCAAAGAAGAGGAAACTTGGTGATAACAAGTCACTTTTTTTCCTTTTTCTTCTTTGCAATTAGTACCCAACCCAGTTCAGCCGACTAACTTTGACTTGTCGACATGAGATCAAGTAAAAAGCTAGCCTTCTTCTTGTTTGTAAGTTCTGATTAAACTTGGATTTCTCGAAGAAAAAACAGATTTTAGTCCTGAAGAAGCTTAGGGACCAACTGAGTTGACAAGAAATAAGCATTAACGTGCAGTTCTGTGAGCCTTCAATGCAGCAAACTAACCGCATTAATGATTTCTATTGTCTCTTGCAAACCCAGAAAACACACACAAAATCAAAGTTGACAGTCGAGGCAAAGTCTGAATGAATCTGAAGTTCACATTGAAAGCAGTAATAAATATAGGATACATGTCTTCAGAAGATATGATCAGTAGGGAGAACAGAGAAAGAGTATCCCTACTTGCATCCTTTGGTACTTCCACTAAGAGACAAAGGAAGAAATCGGATCGGAAACGAAAAGTAAGAGGAAGAAAGCATGGAAAGGGACGTATGAGGAAGGAGAGGCACAGGGCAGCCCTTCGTGCGGTGGAGTAAGAGCTCGGGCATCATTGCTTTATGATTGGAAGCTGCCCGGTGCAGGCATAAGTTGGCAGGCACCTCCTGCTCCTGCTCCTGCTCCTCCTCTATCGCCGCCGCGGCGGCGTCGCTTCGCTGCCACTAAGAGTGTCTCTTTTTCTCTATCCATCTCATGCACAGAGAAAGGAGATATGACTGTCAAAGAATACAATATGTTTTTATGAATTAGATAGATATATTTTACTTGCACAGTTTGGAATAGCACATTTGTCATTATAAATTGTAATATAAGATACGTATATACATACATCTTTCTAATCTTTTGTTTTTTGGGCATATGCTACTGCTATTAAATTCTATCTCAAAGATTTGAGGTTAGTCATTTTCATACATCTTTCTAAATGTCTTTCTGCTTCTTCTTCTTCTTTTTTGGCATATGCTACTGCTATTAAAATTTGACGTTAATCATTTGGACTGGGGTTAATAATAGTTCATTTAAATTAAAGAATTTATGTATGTAAATATTAAAAAAGGCTGAACCCAAAAGTTAACAGTGTGGCCCAAAAAGGGGTCTTTTTGGCCCAGCCTGTTAAGGGCTTGGTAGTTAACGACATTTAAATATTCACCGCTCTTCCAAGCAGAGCAAACACCGAGCTTCGCTTCCCAACCCTCTCCCTTCCTCGCCTCACCTCCTCTCCCACCCTCCTATCCCCGATTCCTTCCCTGAGCCGTCAAGTGCGTTCTCCACCGCGAGCATGCCCACCAAACCGAGCTCTCGTCGTTCTCTCCTCCAGCTTTGGCAGCCTCCGTGTTAGACCGAAGAGCTCTGACACTCCTTTTTGCAGGGACCACGCTAACCAGTCCTCCCTCAGCCACGTCATCGCTTTGTTCCGCGACATGAGGCGTCCGCCGCTTGGCCGCGAGCAACTTCACCTGCCTCTTGAAGTCCTGCGGCTGCCGCTTGATTCTCTGGCGAGGCAGGAAGATTCACTCGCAGGTTGATCACCGATGGTTTCGCATCCATGGTGTTTGCCATGACCATCGTGGTCAACGTGTACGCGAAATGTCTCTGGATCGAGGAACATGTTTGTTAGAATGCCTGAGAAGGACTTGATGGCGTGGAATACCATGGTTTTCGGGTATGTACACCATGGGGTGACGGAGAGGGCTTTGGAGATGGTGATAAGATTGCGAAGGATGGACACACGCCATGTCGGGCGCTTGTACCAGATTACTATTGACTAACATTTATGCAATAACTTCAATGTGGCAGGAAGTAGCAAGGGTGAGAACTATGATGGTGAAGGAAGGACTGCAGTAGACTCCTGGTTGCAGTTCTATCAATTCGAAGATTGAGATGCCTACCTTCTACTCTGGGAAGTATTAATCATCCACAAGCAGAGAAGATATACATCAGATACCTTCTTCTCTGGAAGTACTAATCATCCACAAGCGGAGAAGATATATATCAGACATGGCTAGGCTAATAGATGAGGTCAAAGATGTTGGCTGTGTGCCTGATACTGATTCTTTATTTGAAGTGGAAGAGGACGTTCAAGAGCATCTCCTCAATACTCAAAGCGAGAAACTGGCTATTGCGTTCAGGCTCAAGAACGCGACACCGGGAACCACAATGTAATAATGAAAGAGTCCATGTCTGCACCGATTGCCATAAGACGACCAGGTTTTTGGATTAACTAGTGTCAGGAAAAATATATTAAAGCGGAATATTTGTTTTTCCTCTTTGTATATCAAAATGATTCCTCATTGAAATATCAATTTATCATCAAAAATATATATTAACCAGAATAGCATAAACAGTAGAGCAATAAATCAATTACACAATGAGATCAAAATTTTAACGTGAAAAACTTAATACGAGAAAAATCACGGGACTGTAGTTCACCTCAAACTTCCACTATCAATAATAACGATAACATGTTTATAATAAATCTTCTTTAGAATAACCGGAGGATCACAATAATATCAACAACATAAATCTTGATTCAAATAGAATTTTAAGTCTCACAGAATAGGTAGCAGGAAAGTATCTTAGAGAGG